CCTATTACATAAACATGTTTACACACCCTCAAATGCATGAAGTAGTACTATATAAATATAGTTAGAAAGTTGCTAATTATCTGGCAGCCAAAAATATATAATACATTATGTACAGGTGGACTAATTGGACAAAGAAAATTAAAAGGCTTTATGTTCTCAAATCACTATGATGTATTATATAATACAGTCTGTTGCATGTAATTCTGTTTAAAAGTGATTTGTAATTCAGTTTATGTTCAGTGAATCCCATGATTATCTGATCAAGTGTACCAAGTAATTAAATTTACTCAAGATGTTGCTAACAGTTCGTGTTTGACCCCTGGTGTAACGCTTTCTTACGAAAGACTTCGAAAATCTTCTGTGTCCACAGCAAACGTTCTGTTACTAATGGCAACAAGTGCATCGTTTTTTGTTTTTTTTTAATGCTGCTGTCTGACTTATGTCATAGAACCAATTCATATTGTTATTTCTTGGTCAGATACTTATTACTCTATTGATACGTTACTTTCAGTTCTCTTCCTATAGTAACAATAGTGTTAATAATATATATATATTTTTTAATAATTATTATTTTTTAACCAGCCATTTTTAGTGCCACTTCTTCCTACATTAAGCTCATTTTAATGTATTTTAACCCACTACTAGTCTGTTTACCCTGTAAGTAACAGATTACTAATTCTTTTTCACATTCAAGTTTGTGTGGAATCCCATGATGTCTGTCAAAAAACACATTCACTTAAAGCCATAACTGGATTTGCTTGAGAAGTCTGGTGGCCTATATGGGCATGTAAATGATTTACCCTGGTCATGGCTTAGCCTGCCACCAGCCGATTACTGAGACCGGGGGGTTAAACCAGTCTCAAAGCCATCGGATTACGAAGTTGGATCCCCCATTTGTCACAGAGGGTGGTGATAGGGTAGGGGGTAGGGGGAAGGGGTAAGGGCTGTTCTGAATGCCTGTTAGTCTTCTGAACGCATATCTGCTATCACCTTTTATGTCACTGCACTGCACATGTTTCTACCTTTGTGTTTCTTGCTTCAGTCCTGAATGAGTAATTAAATGTGCTGTAAATTACTTCTTTCTTTCTTTTTTTCCCGCCCAAGCTCTGTAACTGCTGGTGCAGATAAGACCTCTTTGCTCCTTACCTGTCTACATGACTGATATTGGGACCAGTACCTCTATCTGATGGCAATGCCATTTTGCTGTGGTAATAAGAAGAAAGATAGCATGTTGTGAGGCCTATGACCAATGCAGGCCATGGAAAATGACCATATTTCCGTAAGATATGAATAGGGATTATGCATTGAAGTGGAACAGAATTTCCCTTTGTTCCTGTCTAAAATCAGGACACAGTTGCCTATTGTTGCTCAAGACAATGTTAAAAAAAAAATCCACTTTACGCTTGCAATACAAGGGCAAATAGGAAAGGGAGTTTTTTTTTTTTTTTTTGCTCTTTACAGAGTTGTGATGGAAAGGTCGATTCGTTTTGGTCAATCGGTTCATTCGAACAGTTTGGAACCAGTTCAAACCCCGATTCAGTGATTCATTTACTTATCGTGTTTCCTGACATTGTGCATGACACGCATTGCTTTTATTTTTTTTTTATTTTTTTAGGTTTTATTAATAAGGTTGTGTGTTGTAATTCCATGTGTACCGATTCAGTTTTATGCAGCCATGAATGCGCTCATAAAATATCAAGTCATTTAATGTTGCCTGCCTAATTGGCATTTACATTTAAACATTACTGCCTTTCTTTTTTATCTGTTAACAAAAAAAAGAAAAAGAAGGTTTTAGCATGTTTAACGATATTTAATGAAAAAGATGATAATCATCAAATAGTGTCCGATGATTCTTGGTTCCACGAGTCTGACTCGAGGAACCGCTCGGACGATTCAGTCCGATTCGTAAACCTATCGGACATGATATGTTGTTACAACTAAACTTATAGGTCTATATTAAAGAGTCCAAAGCTGTCAAGGAGATAGTTGTCATGTTTACTATTTCACTGACATGTCAGGTAGCCTAAGAACATTTAATGCGTTGTAGGCCTATAGCCTATTTATAACGCAGGTTCTTTTTTTTTTTTTTTTTAAGACCTCCTAGAGTCCTATAGCAACGTTTCGCTTTGCTAATTTCTAATGCATATCTATTCTGTTCCTATTTCTATTCCCTGATTTGTACTTAAGTTGGTGTGGTCCTCAGGGCGGACCTCATCCTATACCAGGTTAGCCTAATACTCAAGTTAAACCACTGGAGAAAGAATAAACCTCTCAGCCCAGTTACCCAAATGCCCGCTTGCTGGTGCAGCAATATGTGCTCATTGTTATTCTGTGGCCGTATACAGTCTACGGAACAGTTTTCGAGCCGGGGTGACCGACACGCACCATCATTAGTCTGATATCACAACCTCCACCTGCTGCCTTGGTTTCTGATGACCAGTCTATGATCTAAGCAAGCAATCCTATGTTTTTGGGGAGGTGGGCGGTGTTGGACTGGATTCAGATATCTGCTGGATGGAGGCAGGAGAGGGACTGACTGCCCCGCTCATGTGACAGTCTGAGACCTTGCGGGAAGCATGTGCGCGTTGCGCGTTTCACTTGGACCGGTGACGCGGAGGATTTGATGAGCCGGTTCGGCTGGAAGGAGGAGGTTTCGGACAAGTCTCCATATAGGTAAACATAAACTCCTTATTCGTTATTTACTGCGTGTCAATGCATGTATTTTCTTTGCGAACATTATGACAACGTTTACGCAATGGTATATCTACTCGATTTGGAGCTTCTAAGATGAATAAAGCTCTTAAAATCAATTGTGAATATTGCATTTATTTATTTTTTGATGATGATTTCTGGGTTTTCCTCATTCGGCATCACACTCCCATGAGAGATGCTGTTAGTGTTCTCGGTTGGTTAACTGATGTGATTTCTATAGAGTCATATCATAGGGATGAGAATCATACGGAATCGATTCTGGTTCCCTAGTCCATGAACGATTCTTTGGTATTTTGGAGGAAGAAATATATGAGGGGAAAGGATTTGGAAATCTTATGGCATTTACTGACCTCAGCAGTCTCTTATGATGGAATAATTTCACATTTCAACACAAAACGATGGGTATTATTTAGTTAGTTTATTGCAAAAGGTGCGTTTACAAAAAAAAAAATTATTAGGTATTTTTTTTCTTCTAATGCAATTCTTTTAAATATGCCCTAACGATTATTTAATTAAAATTCGAAACAATTTAAATTTTCTAATAACAAAACTCAAAATGTGTAGCCTACAACTAGCCTACACGGCAATACGGTAGTTCCAAAAATGTTGTCATCACTTACCCTCAAGTTGTTTCTTCCTTCTGTTGAACACAAAAGAATAGGCTATTTTCAAGAATGTTGGTAGGCTTCTACAGTTGACTAGGGTAACTAGAAGTTAGGCTACCGTCAACTGTCTGGTTACCGACATTCTTTAAAATATCTCCCTTTATTTCAACAGAAACAAACTCATTTAGGTTTGGAACAACATGAGGGTGAGTAAATTATGACAGCATTTATATTTTGGGGGGTGAACTGTCCCTTTAAGTAGGTATAGAATTCAGTTCTCTGAGGGATTCATAAATGTAATTTCTTCACTGAAAAGAACCGGCTCATAGGGGGTATTCGTTCCGAATCATTCGAAATGGACTACATTTCTTTTTTCAATATAGCCTACTAAAAAGTTCCGACTCCAGTGATTCATTCATTTGAAATTCGGACTGGTGGCGCTGTGTTCAGTAGCGGTGATGTGCTGAACAGAAGTGTAGGAAACACTGTCAAGACTATTTTACTTCGGTTTTCTGTCCGCATCAGAGAAAAAATGGACCCGAACGTCACGAGAATCAATTTGTTCCGTTAATTTCTAAATAGAACTGAACAACAATCGATCCCTAACCCTAGTCATAGAGTAACGGCTTGCTAGTCATAGTCTCTCTCTCTCTCTCTCTCTCTCTCTCTCTCTCTCTCTCTCTCTCTCTCTCTCTCGTCACACACACACACACACACACACACTGGGGGTATCAGCCTATTTATTGTGAGCTCCCGCTGAAGGAGAGTTAGGGAAGCTTTACGGTATCACCACCCGTGAAAGATCATTGTGTGTTTCATAGTCAGGAGGATTCTGAGGATATAACGCAGATAAACATCATGTTATGCTACAGGCGTCTTTGATCGTTTTCCAGCATATTCTCATAAGGTAAGAGACATCAGAGCTTTTCTCACCCTTCCTCTGGAACATTTGCCTTAGTAACTCACAGGCTGCACCTGCTCATAGATTGTGATACTGTATATCTAGAGATAAATGGTCCCTTAATGACAAACTTACTTAATATATTGTTTGTTTGCATTACTAAAGCAAGCAAGCATTCATTCTCCACCATTCATTTAATCAACATATATATCAGATATGCTTATCACTTCAGCCATTTTGCTATCAGAGAGTCAAACATCTTCATTTCAGCATCCTTTATTTCATTTGGTTGGCATGCAAAGGTCCATTTTGGAATCTCAAGTGGTTTAGGAACATAGCTTGTATTAAATGTTATTAATTTAATAGATGCTTTTACCCTAAATAATTTAGATTTAAGATAGAGTATAAATCTTATGGGTAGGCCTACTATTTGTTTTCTCCCTGGGAATTCAACCTATGACCTCGGCATTGACTATGTATTACAGGAACGTCTGTAGAAAGGCTAAAGAACAGAGTGAACATTTCCTTTACCCTGGGGCTCATTCATTAATATTCAGTTCTAAATAATGAGGCAGCTCTCTTAAAGCTTGAGGCCGTTAGAAGGGGTCCTCTCCATAAAGATGCTCCATTTGTGAGCACTGAACGTTCTTCTTTGTGTGTGTGTGTTGCCGGTCCCACAGAACAGTAAATGTTTAGAAGTGCAGGGTCATTAAAAGTTGGTCGCCTGAGAGCATTGTGAAAGGAATGTTTGTCAAAGTCCTTAACAGAACACCCCCAACTATATGCTTTGTTCTCCGGGACAATACCTCGCTGGTTTGTCCAATAGGGAGGTAGAGGGAGGGAGCTGGGTCTTGGGTCAAGTGGCAAGACACTGACATATGTAGCTGACAACTTGTTCCGGAAGGGTCACCTGATACGAGGCTGCAAAGCGGTGAGTGTTTCGTGAAAAGTGGAGGAGGAACTTTGATTCATTGGGGGCAAAGGGCATCACCCTTTACCCGCCGTTGGTTAACTTGCTTCAGGGCAGCGTCATTATTTGTGTTCGTTTTTCTCAAAACATGGCATTCTTTAAAAATGACCTAAGTGTCTGTAAAAAAAAGACAGTTGTGTTTATTTTTATTTAGTTTGCATGGGGTCCCGTCGGTTCTAGACCAGGGTAAAAATACTAATTTTACTTACATGTAATAATATTATATTACTTAAATATGAATGATTTTTATTTTATTAAATATATTTATTTCATTTATTTTATAGATTGAATATTTCTAATATATTATACTTATTACATTACAGTTCAAAAGTGTGGGGTCAGTAAGATTACATTTTTTTAAAGAAATTACTTTTATTCAGCAAGAATGCATGAAATTCCGACAGTAAAGACATTTATAATATTACAAAAGATTTCTATCTTAAATAAATGCTGTTCTTTTGAAGTTTCTATTCATCAAAGAATCACAGTTTCCACAAAAATATATTTTCAACATTGATGATAAATTATATTTCAGTTTTTACTGTATTTTTGATTAAATAACTGCACCCCTGATGACCATAAGATACTTTTTTCAAAACCAACTCCAAACTTTTGAACGGTAGATTATAATACATTTGTTTAAACAGATTTAAATAGTATATATTTTTTTCAAATAAGCCATTTTAATCTCTTGTTTTTGGGTGTGATTATGGATGATCCTTCATTATCCTCGTGAATCGAGGGCATTTCAGAGTGACAGTAACCAGACCAGGACAACAACGTATCAACTGTCCTGTGGAGTCACCTCTGCCCACACCAAACGTCACTCATGTGTCAATGGGACGCATAATCATAGCAACCAGGCTTCCTGCAATCTTATACAGTTACAGAATAGGAAAACATGCCATACCAATTAAAAACAATCAACATCTGGAAAAAATTCAAGGTCAAGCAGGAAACCTTACAATCTTATCAGAGACTATACAGAAAGAAAGGCCAATGTTTCCATTCTCTTTTCTCTCTTCCTCTTTCAACCATTTCCAGTCTCAATTACAATCCCATATGACCCAGGGGAGAATGGTACAGCCTGGTATGGAATGTGTCCCATGCCTAAATACTCTAGATCTTGAGGACAGTGAATGAACTCAGCACTTCCATGCTCATAGAACCCAGTAGACAGGAACAACTCGACACACGGGCGCAACGGAAGAACAACATGTTCTTTTCCTGAAGATTGACATGCACTCCTATAAATGCCACCCTACATTAGCAGTTTTAGAAATGAGTTTCTTCTAAGGATATTTCTGAGCTTTAGTAAATGAGGTTATAAAGGGGCAGTTGAGATGTCCCTCTGTCTGATAGGACATGTCCTCCCATTTCCTGTAAGACACTGATTCTATCAGCCTGAGTTCCTTCCCATGTAGAAATTCAGTTTCGGTCAGTCGAGCTGAACATTGTCAAGAATAACAAACAGAAGGAGACAGAAAAGTTCAGGGGTTTTTTTTTTAAGTTCATCCAAAATGTAAAATTCTGTTATCATTTCCTTGTGCAAAATAACACACTTCAGTATACTTTTAAAAAGATTATGTAAATAATATACTTAAGAGCTAACTGAATGTATTGTTTTCGACACTTCATCATTGCATGTTAATTGAGATTAAATGAGAATGTATTATGATTCAAATTAAATACAATTAGATGATTTTTAGAGTGTTTTTGACCCAACAAAAATATACTTCAATGTCATTTCTATTGATAAATTTGAACACTTGTAATTACAGATTTGTAATGATGATGTTGCACTTTAATACATTTTAAATATATTAACTTTAAATATGATATTGAATAACAGACTAAAGTTAAAATTATAATAAAGTATTTTATATGTTCTTTAGTATGTTAACAACAAATCAAAATAAGTTTGTTTCTTGAAGTATGAATATAATATTCTTTAAAATGTACTTTAAAGTACAGTAAAATCTTTAAGTACACTTAAGTGGCCTTTTATTTCATTAATATTATATATTATATGCAAGAGTTTAAAAAAATTCTTACATTTCAAGTGCACATTCAACTTATTTTTCCCACAAATGTTTACTCACCCTCATGTCTTCCGAGTTGTAACCTGTATAACGTTTTTTTGTGGAACAGAAAAGAAAATGTTAGAATGTCCAAGCAGCTCTTTCCTTTTAATGGAAGTAAATGTTAACCAAGTCTGCAAGCACTATTTTTAGTGAATGACGATTTAAATTTCAGGCTGTTTCTCAGACAAAACTATTGTACACTATTGAAACTATTGTTTCACAAGACTTTTTAAATACAGCACACAAGTTAAATGGGCTACTTTTATCGGCTTTTGGTCCTTTTTGGAGCTTGGAAGCCATGGCTCCCATCTACTTTCACCACAAAGAAGAGCAGCTTGGACATTCTGCTAAACTTATTACTTTGTGTTCCACTGAAGAAAGAAAGTCATAAAGATTTGAAACAACATGAGGGTGAGTAAAGGATGTCAAAACTTATATTTCTGGGTAAACTCCTTTAACCTAATTTGTGATAGTGTCTTGAACTGCTTTGCACCTTTAGTATCTCGGGTGAGTTTGATACACTGAAATATTGAACACGCTGTTTAGCATGCACAGAGTAGCGCCTGTCTACTTGAATTTCTTGATGCACCGACATAGCAGGTGTCTTAAATTACCCAAAGGGCAAAGCTGATAGTGACAACAAGTCTTCCCATGTCCCTGTTGCAAGGAAGGGCAGCGGGCGACAGGACAGCCGTGAGTACAGCCATTACAACGATTAGAGGGTGCGCTAGGGATGGATGAGGAAGATAAGAGGGAGAGAGATGAGGGGAGGACTGATGGAGCGTGAAGTGTGTGTAGGGGGAATTCCTGGAATTCCATGACCGCCGCCACTCTTCCTGATCCTGATAGGACACACATTGGCGCACACACTCAGACATTGTCATGTTTGTAATTCTACTAAGATGCTGAAGAAGCCGACCCAATAGAATGTACTGGATTGGCTCTTTTATACAGTCGTGTAGCTTCTGTGTGGCTTCATAGCAAGGGTTTTATCAGTTGATGGCTTCAGGCTGTCAGAGTGAGTTTCTTGGCTTGCCTCTGATCAAAGGTCTTCAGCTTTATTTGGCACTGCTGCTTATTCCAGACCGAACAGTCACTTCAAACAAGGATTTAATAGCATGGATGGTGGTTCTATTCATCAGTATGAATGAAATGTACCCAATGCAATAATGTTTGTAGTGGTTCCAAAAAGTATTTGGGCACATAAAATGTACGAATATCAACAGAATATCAAACCAAGTGGCCTTTATTTTAAAGAAATATAGCACAGACACACTTTTCAAGCAAAACATTTAGTGACGCTTTATTTTAAGATGACAGTTCAGTTACATGTCACATGTAGTTACTATAGAAATAATAGTAAGTTATGCAAATATTCAAGCAAATAACCCTAACCCTATAGTAAGTACATGTAGTTAATTAATATTACTCAGTTCGTAATTACACTGTAACAACCTCACCTTAAAATAAAGTGTAACCCAACATTTTACAAAAGACGTTTTTTTTGTTCAAAATGGAGATTAAATGGATCTGCTTGTCAGTTGTTAGTAGAACATGTTCACAATGTGAACTTGAGGGCATCTCATTTTATAAATCCACTAAAATTCAGTGTCAACAATTGGTTATTGCAAGAGAGAGAAAACTCTAATGCTATTTGGCATTTTTGCTATTTTGTATCTAATGCAACATTCATAAATTTTTAATTGTGACTTGGCTGCCCAAGTGTCTAAATACCTTTTTTAGAGCCACTAAATAAAGATAGCGGCAAAATGATAATTTCCAATGTCTAATTCAAATGCATTAATAAATATAGGCTAGTCATATAGAACAGTGTCTGGAACATTTTCAGCATGCTTTTTGGCATTATAGTCAATGCATTTTTAATGACCTGGCTATGATATCCCAGTCTTGAGGTTTGTTCAGCGTAGACTACTTGACAAAATCCACCCTGAAGGGTTTCTTAAGACTTGATCCCCAGGATTGGCTCTGTTTAATTTTCTTGCTCCCTTACCTAATTTAAGATGATCAAATCCCTCTTAAGGAGATGCAATGCTCTGAAGGAGAGTTCAGTTCACTTATGAAACCTTTAGATTCTCCCCTAATAAATCATACAACAAATGCTCCTTAAGCATCTCCTTCAAAGTGCTGAAATACTCAGACTTGAATTAAACATTCAACTTCATAAAACCCATTAAACTCGAATGTGATGTGCATTTTAATAGCAACAAATGAAACCAGGCAAATTGATTGATTTTTAAATCTATTGATTTTATTAATTGATTTTAGATTTTTTTTAAAGAGAATAATCAAAAGATATAGACCGTTTGAGAGAAATGCACAACTCTTTACCCAGAATCCTTTAGCATTTTAGCTATGTGGGCCAGATGAACAATGCTAATAGGATTTACTCTGAGTGGATGGAGGGGAGTCGAGAGAGATTGGGAAGGGGGGAAGGCATCCCGCCTTTACCCCCTGTTGCGTACTAGCCCACCCAGAGCAGTCATGTGATGCTGGCAGGTGTCTGGCACTGACTAGACCTTTAGTGACCAAACCCAGCAACTTCCACCCAAGCTGCAGGATTATATATGGACTTGATGATAACCAGGTCACCCCCCTTGCTATCAAGCCACCTTTGAAATTGTCTTGTTGCTATGAGCTTGACGAAACCTCAATGTTGTCATATTCAGCATGGCAATAACAGCAAGAAATAGACCTTATTCAGAGCAGCGCCATGAAAGGTATGAAAGCAAGGCTGTGATTGATAGACTTGCTGTGTTTTCAAAGGCATCCATCCGCTGTAAAAAGCTGTATAAAGCTCTTAGATCACTTTTAAGTTTCCACAGCTCATATTGTCTGGGGATTTTGTCTACTGAAATT